TCTTCATTCATTATAGTCACAAAGTTCAAGTCACAAAAGAGCTTCATAAGACAGCTCAAAAAGAGACTCATGAAGAACACATTTCTCTTCTCGAGAGTTCTTGGCATTATCACAGGGAGGGCCTGCTGTGGTATTTATCAGAGAACATGTGCCATGAGGTTATGCTCACTTACTAATTTTCAGTGATTCTGAAAGTGCCCACAAAGACGGGGACTTTTTGTTGGTTTGTTTGTTGTCTGGTTGACTGCTTTTTAAGACAGGGTCTCTCTACATAGCCCTGGCTGTTCTGGAACTCACTGTGGAGACCAGGCTGACCTCAGACTCATAGATATCCATCTACCTCTATCTCCCAAGTGCTAGGATTAAAGGCATGTGCCACAATGTCTGAAAGCCATGGTACTTTAATCTCCAGGGCCAGTGAGATGATTCAGTGAGTGAAGGCACTTGCAACCGTGAGGCAGGCAACTTGGGTGTGGTTCCTAGATACCATGGTAGAAGGGAAGAATTAATTCCTCACCTTCATTGTCCTCTGACCTCCAATTGGGTACCAATGCTCATATGAAACAAACAAACAAACATCATTCACACATATATACATGTGCAATAATACAAATTTAAAAACAAAAAACAAAACCAGGCCACAGAGGAAAACAATGCAGACAGTCCTGATGAAACCCAATAGGCTATGGTCAGATGGAAGGGGAGGAGGACCTCCCCTATGTGGACTGGGAAGGGGCATGGGAGGAGAAGAGGAAGGGAGGATGGGATTGGTGGGGACTAGTGAGGGGGCTACAGCTGGGATACAAAGTGAATGAATTGTAATAAAAAATTTTAAAAGTACTAAAACAATATTTTTTTAAAAGGCAATGGATTTGAGAAGTGAGGCATGGGAGGAGTTGGAGGTAGGAGAAAGTAGAAACATGATATAAATACTCATAAATAAAATTACCAAAGACAAAACAAGCAAATAAATAAACAAAACAATTATCTTAGTAAGCCAGGGAGATGGGTTAAGCAGGTAAAAGATGAGCTGAGTTTGATCCCCAGAACCCACATGGTGGAAAGAAAACACAGATTCTGAAAGTTCTTTTTTGACCTCCTGGTGAATTCTGTTTCATGCCTGCATACCTGCCTTCATGTACATATAGCACATACAAGCACACTATAATAATAATAGATAACATTTCAAGAAACCTTAATATCACAATAATTGGACTGTCGTTTTAAGAAACCTTAATATCACAATAATTGGACTGTCACTGTAAGTTGTTGACATACTGTGTGTGCCTTCAATTTTATATCATCTGCTTTGGAACCCTTAATATTGAGAGGGGATCCATGAATTATTCATATTGTAATTGGAGTCTGAAATCACTAATGGTTCCCGTGTTTGCACCAGATTGTCAAACACATAGGAAGTAACCATGTAGCTCAGCATTTTGAGAAGTGTAGCCTAGGCAATCAACTCCTCCTTCTCTGTGTGTCCTGACAAGGGCTGAGATGTTCTTGATAAGGTGCAGGTGAAAGAGACTTGAACTACAAACATCATACATGAATGGTGTTCCTAAGAGACAAACTGACAAGATTGACTACAAAAGGCCTTATGATACACATCACTTTTTAAATGTTTGATGGCCAATGTGACAAAGTGAGAATCATTTTAAGTATTAAAAAAAAAAAAAGACTTGCAGTGACACAAATTATTGAAGGTGAGACATTCTTGTCCGTAGTTTCCAGTTTGCTTTAAGTTAGCTCAGTTAGAATGTCTCAATAGTTCTGTGGCGTAGATCTTCATAGTTTTATCAGGTCAAAGCCAGCAACTTTTCTGGTCGTGGCTATGAGTCACAGCTGGGCTGTACTGTGGTTAACATTCTGCCTTGAAAACAGAATCAAGAGCAGCAAGATACCAACTGGTTTCCATGGTGACGGTATTTGTATACTTTGAAAAATGACTGTTACTTTCTATGTGATGAGTTCACTCGAGAATGAATTGTGGAGGTGACATTAGCCATCTGTGTGAATATAAACAAAAAAATCTGATTTAATTAAATGTAAATGTTAAAAGGACATAAAACTGAAGGAACCTGCTGGGTTTTCCTCCTCTCTAGTAGAAGGATTGTTGTTCACTAATTAGTTCATTAATTTACTTGACATTTTATTTAAACATTTTCAAATATGTCCAGTTGGTGTTTATTGTAATGTTTCATTTCATCCTTCCCAAAGGAGAACGACATTTAGTTGTCTTCTTCAGTGTTTCCACAAACCCATCTTCCTTGCCCACCAACTCAGCTCAGTCCCACTCACAATGTGCTTTTTTAGGACCACTAGCTTCTGGCATCTAGGAGTTCTTATTTAGTGGAGAAATCCCATTAGAAAGGAAGAAAAAATGCTCTCTACACCATGTAAAAGGTCACAGCTCTTAATCTTGTTGAGCTTGGAAGAAAAATGGTTCTCTGTAATGTATTATAATATATAGTGACCTTGTATAGAATCAGACCATGTTCCTCAGCTTGCTGCTACCCAGGGCTTACTGCATTCCCTCAGCTTGAGGGTGCTTACGGTCATGAAGGTGCTTACCTAAGGTTTTGAATGTTAAAAACCAAGTAATTTCAGCTCTGGTCACTAAAGCACAATCCAGAGTTAGAATCTCTTGGGTTTAAACACTGTAAGCTGAAAGACTCGCTTAGTATGTCATTATCTGGCAACAGGGTATTTATTTTTATATTTAGTTTCAAAGTAGACTTCATACAATAAAACTGATAAAAACCCCGAGAAACACAGTCTGCTATGAGACAGTGATTGAGGAGAATTCCCAGGGCTGCTTGGGAGCATTCACAGTACAGCTTGGCCTCATCTTGCTCTTACCTCCAGCTTGAGAAGGTGATAGAGCCCAAGACTTGAGGTGAAGGGCTTTGGCTTCTCTTTCTCCTTTTCTGATTTTCTTGTTGTGTCGTCTTTCTTTTCTTTCTTTCTTCTTTTTCTTTTGTCTTCCTCTTTCTTTTCATCTCCCTCCTTCACCTGGCTTTTGTCTATAAGTAGTACTCTTAGAGTTTCTATTACTGCAATAAAAAAAACATGTCCAAAGCAACTTAAGAAGAAAGAGGTCATTTTAAGCTTAACTTCCACATTAGAGTCCATCAAGGAGGACAGTCAATACAGAACGCTGGAGGCAGGAACTGGAAGCAGGGACCATGAAGGAATGTGACTTCCCGGCTTGCTTTTCATGGCTTGCTTAGCCTGTTTTCTCATAGCATCCAGGACCACCACCCTCAGGGATACACTGCCCATTGGCCCTTCCCACATCAGTTATTAATCAAGAAAATGCTTCATGGGCTTACCCGGAAGCCAATCTGGTGAGGGCATCTGGTGAGGGTATTTTCTAACTGACGATCCATATTCTCAAATGACTCTAGGTTTTATAAAACTAGCCAGTGCCTGTAGTATGATAGAAACCTGATAAGAAACATAAGTTTTTAAGCAAGAATATTTGCAAAACAGAAACAGGAGAGGTAAAGTAATAAACCTGAGAAAAGAACACTATCTTTATTCTTTTATATAAAAATCATGATTTAATACCAAGTGGTGAATGGCATATTGGACTCTGTTTCTCATTTTAAATCTCTTCTGACCTTCCCCACATCTCACAAGCATAATGAACAACTGGTTGAGAATTTGATGAGATGGGCCAACATTAAAAAAATCTGTGATTTATTATGAGCTTTGAACAAGACAACACCTAAGTCAACACTCTACAGAATGAACAAAACTCATCCAAACCCTATAGTAAACTTCAGGAAATTACTAGACTGATATTTACAATCCTATAATTCAAATTTTTATCTAGCTACACAGAAGCAGTAGTACTAATTAAGTTCTTAAAGTACATGCATTCATGGCAGAAACCAAAGTTTCCATTCACAGGAGCTGCACTGGAATCCTGTCCTCATAATGCTCTGCTCTTAACAGTGAGGGACAGGAAACCCAGGAAACTCCCTAAGGAAACTCACACTCAGCAGGGGCAAGAGGATGCTGTGCCCATCACTAGGAAGGGAGGGGATGTGAAGGATGCATAGAAGTAAAACACTAAGGGTTTCACAAAGTATGGGCGCTCAGCCCTGTAAACCCAGCACATGAGCAGCTGAGGCAGGTGGATTGTTACACACATAAGCCCTGCTGGGTTACAGAGTGATTTTCAATCCTGCTTGGCTAGAGAGTGAAGCCCTGTATCAAAATTCCCCTGGGGGGGCGCTTCAGAGGTGAAAAAAAATCACATCTGGTCATTGCAATTAGGCAAGGTTCACAAAAGTGCTTTGTAAAATTTGGTTGTAAGGTTTTTATAGCTGAGTTAATGTGTTTAAAGCATATTATATCACATTTTAGTAAATAAAAGAAACTTCATCAGTTTGCACAAAATGTACATTCACTAGAAGAGTGGTCAGGAAAGGCTGCCGGTGACGGAATGATAGACTGCTTGCCAGGAACACGGGAGGGGTCGATCCACAAGGGGGAAAAATAGCCTGAAAAGAATAAGAACAATCAGAGGCCAGGCATGGTGACCTTTAATCCCAGCACCCTGGAGGCCGAGCAGGAGGATCTCTGTGAGTTTAAGACCACCCTGATCTACAGAGTGAGTTTCGGGACAGCCAAGGCTATAGAGAGACATTCTCCAGCAAAACAAAACAAACAACCACTAACAAAAAGGAATAGTCTGCATATTTTTCGATATTTTCCATTTTGTTCTCACAGGCAGCTCATTTTAAGTGGAATGAAGTGATATATGTAGACTGCATGGGATTCAGAGGAAATCTAATGGCCTGCCACATGAGGAGGCTACATTTTAAGACTGGCATTGTTTTTCCTAAGTGAAAAGAAAGCTCCTTTTCCCTAAAAACAAACTAACAACAACAAAACATGTGCAGCGTTTTTACTTAGGAGAATTTCTTTTTGGTTTCAGCTCTATGACAGCATTTTTACTTAGGAGAATTTCTTTTTGGTTTCAGCTCTATGACGGACCACAACGGATGGGACGCTACTGTGGAACAAATCTCCCCCCATCAGGGGCTACCACAGGCTCCAAGCTTCATGTACTGTTCCATACAGATGGGGTTCCATCAGGGGAGAAAGGATTTAAGATGCAGTGGTTCATTCATGGTAAGCCCCTTGTTGATTTTGGTTGTATTAATAATTGTTATTTGGCCAAGAATTGTCTCCATACCAGTTCAATCCTTGGAAACAGTAGCATCAACAAATAATGACAGCAAAGCAGTAACCTAGAGGTAGGCTTTAGATAACTTATTGAGACATCTGTGGAACTGTGAGAGTTAAATTTTGCTGGCATTCTGAGAAGAAATGAAGTTAAATTAGAAGAGATTTAGGTAACTGCTTGGGTAGGTAGAGTGATAATCTGCTTTAGGGCAGACAGAATAGGTGTTGAGCTTGGTGAAGTGAAATGGTAGAAAGACAGTCTACCCAGAACCTGGTGAATCCTTCCAAAGTGTTCAAATCACATAGCGTCCTATCTAGATTTAAGTGGTACCAGGGTGTTTGCAAGGGTCCCTGAAGGAGACAACTTTCTATTTCAAAACTCTAAAGGGCAGAAAGCTTTTCTGGGTATTGAAGTGTCATGGGCCAAAGGCTTCAACATATGCTCCTTGATCTTAGGTACACATAGGAATTGCCTAGGAGTTTGAAGACTGGCTTGTGTTCCAATCCCTACGAGATTGGATTCAGTTGGTCAGTGTTTGATTATTGTCACTTTCAATCCCTTCCTAAACAATGCACTCTTGCAGTCAGGTTGGAAGAGTGAAGAGATGTGGGCAGTACTTTTGCTAGTTGGTCTTTTTATTCAAGAGACTACTCATCCTCCCCTCCAGGCTGTTCTAGCTTCTCTGGGTAGAGGCCACCCTAAAAAGCTTGAAGGGATGGCTACTGGCTACGCCCAAATTACTGTATCGTTGGGTTCTTCTAGACAATATGCCAAGTCCCCTGTTGAAAGCTCTAAGGTTTTATTGAGCCAAGATTTTTCTTTCACTTCTATTTGGAATCTGTCTTCTTTTAAGAGAGTCAAAGACATCCTCTGTCTATTCTTTTTTCCTGTTTACTATTGCAAAATTTTCCCCATTTGATGAAAATTTGCTAAGCTGAGAGCCAGAGTTATGCAACAATATTTTATTAGTTAGGACCAAAACTAAAAAGAAAAAAAAGTTTTAACTCTACTGTCCACTATATAAAAATGGTACTTGATAATAATCTCCTGGAAGGAGAGCAGCAGCAGCTTAAGCCAATACAAAATTAATTGCTATGGCATGTTATCATCATGTCATATATTCTATAGGTTCTATATCTGAACTATGTAACTTCAGGATGACTTGAGAGAAGGAGTCAACAGAGTAAACATCAGGCAGAAGGTCTTCACTGGGAACGGTACCCTGATTATCCATCAAAGGAAAACTGAAAACAAAGATTATAAGCTGTCATTCTTCTGTTTATTATAGTTATGGGTATCAGGGAATGCTTTCATAGTAGATACCATGACATAACTAGGGACATAGATCTAATTGCAGACACTGAAATGGTTCAATTTCCATATCCATTACAGTACAGGAAAGACATTAAGCATGCAAATGAATATTCACAATCAAATCAGGTGAGGACTGAGGGAACACAGAGAAAGAGATCAGATGGCATTGGGGTAAGCAGGCAGGCAGGCAGGAGGGCAGTTAGGCAGTCAGGAAGGCAGACAGGGAAGTCTTTTATGAAATTGAGACCTCTGCAGGGGCTGGAGAGATGGCTTGGAGGTGAAGAACACAGGCTGTTCATCCAAAGGTGCTGAGTTCAATTCCCAGCACCCACATGGTGGCTCACTACCATGTATAGTGAGATTTGGTGCCCTCTTCTGGTATACAAGAGCACATGCATGCAGAATGATGAAGAAAGAAGGAAGGGAGGGAGGGAGGAAAAGGAAGGAAGGAAGAAAGAAAGAGAGAAAAAGAGAGAAAAAGAGAGAGAAAGAAAGAAAGAAAGAAAGAAAGAAAGAAAGAAAGAAAGAAAGAAAGAAAGAAAGAAAGAAAGAAAGAAAGAGGAAACTATCGGAGCCACAGTGTCTTCCTAGGTATGGTCTTCATAATTCCTAAAAACAAGTAAGACTCCCGTCTTAAAATACAGAGTACATTACAAAATATACCCAAAACATAGTCATGCATCCTTAAACAATAGGGACACGTTTTGAATAATGCATTGTTAGCCCATTTCATCATCATGAGCATCACAGAGCATTCTTAGAAGGTCACCTGATGACATAATCTGTAGGGCTACCTAGGTTTATGCTGCCTATCTTCGACTGAAATTCATTTTGCAGCATGTGACTCTCAATTTTCGAATGTAATAACTCATTACATGTGTTTGTGTGTACATGAATACATATAACACATCAGTATACAAAAGCCAAAGACAAGATTGTGCATTGATCCTCTGGATTTCTGCCCAGAGTCAGTCAAGATCCCATGCCTGACCTGGCCCTAAGCATCTCTTCTTCACCTGGCCAGGAGAAGTGATGTTAAATCTCTGTTCTCTTTTCATCAGCATCAAATCGTATGAAGCCCCCTCCCCTCTGGCTCCTTTCCACACAGTGCTATAAGAGCTCAGCAAATGCTTGCTTGCAAAGCTTGGAATTGACAGTGACATCATTTCCTGAGCACTGTGGCACAGGAACCACTACACACTTAATTCATTTTGCTCCGTAATAAATAAATCCATTTACCTAGTGTGCCTTTCTGTCAACAGCACAAATCTTCTATTTACTTTGAGAAAATGGATCTACAAGCGGGCTTTCTCTATGGGTCCATTTTGAATGTAGCTCTGTAGACACAAAATAAATCTCACACTACAGTGTTTTTATGCAGATCTTCAAAGAGAAGCCCACCCTGGAAATAAAGGAACAGCCACAGTCGCCCTGTCTGGCTAATCGGTTCACAGGATTCAGCATTAACAGCTTTGTTCCAAAGCTCAATTTTATCTGGGAGCCTTGGCCTGAGCCGCTAAAGGGTGTATAGAACTTTCCATAAGTTGTGTGAATAGGAGCCTGCCAGCCAGCTGCATACACCCCTCCTCCCTTCCCAAGGCTCCCCAAGGCCTCTTCCCCGATTGGCAGTGGGATCCAGCATACAAACAAGGTCAAGGAGCTTTGTGAGCAGAGAGTGACATTTGCAAAGGCAGCAGGACACTTCAGCTAGGGAGCCAACAGGGGAAGAGCTAAGTGGCATGTGAGCAGGAGGTGATGTCACCATGAACTTCCACAAAGGAAAGTGTGGCCTTTTCTTTGGGGAGATAGATGACATCATCCTCCCAGATGGAGGCCACTTCATTCTGTTTTCTTTTTAGTTGTTAATGAGATTTCTAGGCCTTAGAGGTTTTAGAAATTGGCTTGGGAGAACATTTTAAAACATTTTTCAAGACTGTGAGTGACTTGAGTTCAAAAGATAGTGCCTCCCTGGCTATCTGGACATTCAGCCCTGCACCCAGGGCTTCTCAAAGATTTGCTTTCGGAACGATGGCCAGGAACCTCCACAGGGTCAGCCATTTTTCTTTTCAACCCTCATTGCAACTCTTTCTCTCAAAAAGACAGTAATAGTTTGTGGTTACTATTCATCTTTCAGGAGAATTTCTTCTAATTTGACATTTTTATTTATTTTATTTGTTTTTGTAAGCGTGGGTTTCTGGGAACACTCAAGTCTTAAGTATTGTGATTCTTATATGTATATATATATATATATATATATATATATATACATACATACATACATACATATATATGATAACATGGATGCTGAGTGGTCAGGTTCTTAGAAGCAGATGGATGGCGCACAACATCAATGATGCCTGTTTTAAAAAGAAAAAAAGAAGGAATATTCTTTAAAATATATAGATAACAAGCATCCTAACATAGCAGAGGAACATGCAGCACACAGAAGATGTTTAATATATCTCAGTATTAAATGCTATAGATGAAAAATTAGAAAATATTATGAAAGGCTCCATAGGGGCTGAAAATGAGTGAAAGGTTGTGAAACGCTCCGAAAATCACATGATAGAGAATAAGGTAGGATTGGCTGTCCAACTAATGAAAGACAAGCACAGAAAGCTTATACTTTGCTGCCACCAGAGAAAGAACATCGATGGATTTTTTTTTCTTTTTCTGTCAATGGATGGATGGATGGATCTCAAGGCTTTGGACATGCCAGGCAAGCATTCTGTCTCTTTGTGGCATGGTATCCCCAATCCCTAGAGTTGGGTTTTTATTTTGAGGAAGTGTAGTGATTGCATAGATGTACATTCTAATAATAACATAGGTAGTGAGACTATTTTTCACAGCACACAGAAACAATGACCTGAAGGTGCCTGTGAAGAAATGGCTCAGCAGTTAAGAGTACTGGCTGCTCTTCCAGAGGACCTGGGTTCAGTTCCCAGCACCCATGTGGTAGCTCATAAAGTTCCTGTGGATCCAGTGCCCTCTGGATTCTGTAGGTGTCAGACACGCACATGGTGCAGAGACATACCTGCAGGCAAAACACCTATATACATAAAGTAAAAGAGAAAACTGAAAAATTATATAGGTAAGAGGATACAGAAATGCAGACAGAGTTGGAATGACTTGTGGGCACTGTGAAAACAGAACAGGGAGAAAGAATAGGAACAGAAATCTAGGCAGTGTATCAGGAGCTGTGTGGAAAATGGGATAGCAGATGTAACACCAGATTAGATGCCTATGAGTCCATGCAATGAAAAGAAGGGTCTTAGTCAGTCCAGCATCCCACAGTAGAACATCTGGTTCTAGATGGCGCTGGTAACCATAGTCAGGGAGCCTGTGCTTCTGTGGAAGTAGGAGCTGCAGTCTGAGCATGCAGAATTCAACATCCTTTGAAATGACTGGAAAAGGTGTTCTTACAGCCATTGTCTGTGTGCCTGGGAAAGTTGTTAGGGCCCAGGCAGAAAGATGATGCAGTAAACCTCTGACTGGTAAATTCAACGTCATAAATGTGATAGCTTTTTATTTTATGGCCAAGACTTTTAAACTAAGAAATACCATATTAGTCTTTGTCCCCGTGGTGTATACAATCCAGTTATGAAGAATCCTTGAAAGACATACAGCTTGT